TCCCGCCCCGGTTCGTCGGACCGCGGGCCTTATTCCACACTCTCCCTTCCCACACTTCGCGGTCCCTTCCATCTCCTCCACCTTACTCGCCGCAGAGACCCCGCGCGCGCGCGCGTTTCGGGGCCTTACTCCCACCTCGTGCCTCTTTTCGCCGGAGAGAGAGAGAGAGAGAGAGAGAGAGAGAGAGAGAGAGAGACGTGCGTCTTTTGGGTACCCGCCCGTGCGCCCGCACATTATATTCTACTTTATTCATACAGCGCGGCTGTCACGCACGCACGCACGCACGCACGCACTTTCGTATCGAGGTGCGTATTTCTGTCCCGACACGCGCATCGGCGAGATGATCGCGGGACCTTGCGACCTCTTCCAGAAGGGACTGACGCGGAACGGGAAGCTTCCAGCGAGAAGTACGACGCGCAGGCTACTGTTCGTCTCGAAGCGCGATTCTTTCCGCGACAAGCGACGAGCGTGTAGTTAACGCTCGTTGCAGTTGTTGTTGTTGCTATTCCTATTCCCTACGTCCCTTTTCGCGTCAGCCAGTCGCGTGCTACGTCTGCGTTAGCAACGCTAGTTCACGGTCCCGTCGTCGTCGTCGTCGTCGTCGTGTCCGGTGGTTTCCCCGAAGATCGATATCCCCGCTCGGCCGAGATCCCGTTCTCCTCTCTCTCTCTCTCTCTCTCTTTTGCTGGAATATCGCGGCGGTAACAACAAGTGAGTCGCTTCATTACCATCATTAGACAGTACGTAAATTACGCGATCACTCGTTACATGCAAAGTGGGCCATTTCTTGTGATCTGTGAACCCCTGGGAACCCACGGCTCTTGTCCTGGTCCACAACGCCATTGTAAGCGACCGCCGCGATTGTTGCGCGCCGCTGCGTGTCCTTCCCGCATCTCTTTCTCTCCTCCTCATTCTCTTTCTCCGTGGGCCTCCTATTTTCCACCCCCGCTTTTGTATCGAACGCAATTATCGCGCACGCGTTTCCACTCCGCTCGTCCTCCGCGAATTCCGTCGTCGCCGTTACTCGCAAAGACAGACGGATGAATCGCCGGCTTTGTGGCGGACGCGTCGTCCGCCCTGATCGCGTGGAGTCACGATGATGATTCATCCGCTCCGGAATTCGATCGTTACGGATTGCCGCAACGCGATCGCCGATTTCCCCCCCCCCCCCCNTACGTCATCGCGCGCGTTACGGTATGTACGCGCGGTGTCCGGGAAAACGGCGCGGCGCTTCGGCGCGGCCTGTGTGCCATCCTCTTACAGGATGTTTGCCTAGAACATGATAAATACGGTTTCAATCCTAGCCTCCGTCTCTCCCCTTCTCCCTTCGTCCCTCCTCGTTCTTTCTCCCCCTCCCCCCTTCTGCCCGTGTATCCTTCTCTCTCTCTCTCTCTCTCTCTCTCTCTGTTTCTCTGTCTTCCTTTCTCTTGTTCCTCGGGAACTCCCCGTATGATTAAACGGCGTACGTCCAATGCAGGCGCGTGGCCCTGGGCTACGCCAACGCTTACCGTGTATATGTATCCAGTTATATACCTTCCTTGTACCCGGTGTGTACCTGGTGCGCAATCAGAGAAATCGGGCCCCCCTCGTCCTCCCCCGCCGCCGCCAGAGAGTAATGGTGCGTTTTAGGCGGCGCAATTAAGCCTCGCGGAGAGCCTCGCAATGAGAGAGAGACCGGGCTGACTTTTCCGCTAACGCGCGCGCTAACGTCGTTATTCCTGGCACCCCGATCCGTAAATCATACGCGGTAGCACAATGGCACCGTAACCGGGGAACGTATCACGTCTAAATTATACGCGTCGAGTGTAACGAGTTACGCCGCGGCCTCGAACTTCCGCGACTTGGAAAAGTCGCATTCCCCCCCGCAAGCCCGCTCCGCGGGACGAATTCGAGTGACTCTCGGCCGGTTCGTCCGGAAACGCCGAGGGAAATCGAACTCGGTCGTTCGAGCCCGCCTCATCCGTCCGGCGATGATCATCCATGAGGATCATCGCCGCGGAAGCGGCCCGGCTCGCTCGTTAAAAGTGTGTTCCGCGGAGCGGACGCACATGGGGGAAGCTCTAAATCAACCCCGGCGACCGCTAGAGCGGGCGACGCGCGGCTCTACAATAATATTCTGTTGAAATTATAGCCCCGGTTGTGTTACCTTCCGTTCGAGCCGATTTAAGTCGTCATAAACGAGCCGCGAATGTGGGCCGTAAATTTCGCAAAGTAATCGCGCCACTGACCCAACTACGGCGCGAGATGCGAGCAATAAAAGCGCGCGACGAGCTCTAGCCGGGCCTGAAGTGACAGCGCGCGACGCGTTGCGCCTCTCGATGGGTCCCCCTGGACCGCGGCTGAAACTCGCCGTTTCTGCAGGCTCGCCGCCTCTCACCGGCTCGGGCATCGTCAAGATCATCGTGCTCGACGTGAACGATCACAGCCCGGAGTTCGCCAGGCAGCACTACAAGGCCACCATGCTGGAGAACATGCCTGCTGGGACTTGGGTCACCAAGTTGCACGCCGTCGATAAGGACGAGGGGCTCAACGCGAAGATCAGGTGGGGCCCTGATGTGCGCAATGTTCTTACGCAACGAGAGAAAAAATGTCTGAGATAAGAATCTGAGATAGGAACCGCCGAGAGCGTTATCTTGATATTTTCGAAAAATCTGATCGTACCACAAACGGTATAGAATATTGTTTTATACCATAATATTTTCGGAGGAAATATTCTCTCGTATACATTTGTTCGTTATATTTTGCCTACCTCGTCGTTTTCGACGGTATCCGCTGGAAATTAAAGCTGCAATTCCATGCGAATTTAGCGATAAATCGTAAAATCGTTATTCACGAAGCAAGTTCGTGAGAATCTGACTTGCAATTTTACGTAAACTTACGTAAACTGTAATTTTATACTAACATTAGAGCAACATAGAGACGCGCGCGCTACTTAGCTAATTTAGTTATTTAGCTAATTACTGTTATACGAGAAAAAAAAATCTCAGTTCGTTTAACCAAATAAGCACCAGCACTAAAATTCGTTGAAGAGAAAACGATTTTTACTATCGAAGCTAGCAATAATTAAACCTGTTATATTTAGCCTTTTTTGGAATAGATCTGTACTGCTCATATATATAATTTTTTTTTTAAGTTGCACGTGATTGCAAGTAAAGAAAGATCATCGGCTTATTTGCAGGTTCAGGTGTTCCGATTATTTTGAACATGAAATATATAGTAATTGTTAAGTTTTTTAGTGTAATTAAAAAATTTTTCATTCATATTTTTGACAGTCGCTAAGAAATTTTCCATAATACTTGTGACTTACAGGCAGCTTCTTGATAATCTCGTGAAATTTACGAGAAATCGTCGATATTTACGAGCGATCATACGTCTTACGATACACATAAAATTACAGTTTCGGTCGTAAATTATTGCGAGTCTTACGAGAATAAATTACGAGTCTTACGATTTTGCCTGTAATTGCAGCGTAAATCTTTGAATTAACCCCTTTTGACTTGAAATAAAACACATTGAAGGATTATTTCAACCCTTTAAACGTGCAGATAAACGCATAAGAATACGTGTATTTTTCATTATTTGTATCTTTTATTCTATTTTCTCCATAATACATACATATATATATATATTAAAATCCCACCAAAATTGGTGAAGGACTTTCGACGGTTTCCCTGTGAGTGGAAGGAAAGAAGAATATCCGCGATAAAAAGTATCGATCATGCTCTGAACCGTGATTTTGCGGATCTCTTGAGCAGGTATAGTCTATATGGAGACAAGGTAGAACACTTCTCTGTGGATCCCGACACGGGTGATGTATCCACCACGGTGTCGTTAGACCGCGAGCAGACCGCTGTATACCATCTCACCCTGCTGGCGCAGGACTCGAGCCCGACGGAGCGCGCTACTGCCGTCAAACTGACGGTCTACGTGCAGGACGTGAACGACAACGCACCCCGCTTCTCCAGTCCCCGATACATGGCTTATGTTCCCAGCGGAACCAAACCAGGTGAGTGTGACCGAGCTTTAATTGATTTCCGGCGAACTTTGATTAAGCCAATCGACGAATAATTGGCATAATTGTTGATTGTATTTGTCGTCCAATAATAAAGGAGAAATTGATAATTTCTATGTAAACATAAGCTAATAGTTTCTATATTTTATTTCAATGAAATACCAATAGATAATTTAAATTCTCGACTGAGAAAGAGAGAGGGAGAGAGAAATAGCAATTTGAAATCGTCGATTAGACTAATCAGAGTTTAGTGAAAGTCGCCCTTGAAGTGTCGATTAGAGTGCACTAATTGAATCCGCTGGGGCGTATTTCCGCTGAATTGAATCCCGCTGACGCCGAATTTTTCCTTCTCCCGTTCGCAGGTGACTTCGTGTTCGGCGCGAAAGCGGTCGACGATGACGACGGCGAGAACTCGCGGATCGTTTACCGGCTCCAGGGCGACGACTCCAAACGGTTCGACATCGACCTCGACAACGGTGTGATACGCGCCACCCAGGAACTGGCGAACGACAAGACCACTTATCAGTTGCAAATACAAGCGTCCGACTGCGGAGCCGAGCCCCAAAACGTCACCGCTGACCTGGTGATACACCTGTGGGAGCGGCAGTTGTTCCCCAGTTTTGAGTCGAACGTCAGCACCAGGTTCACGCAGCCCGAGGACGTGCCGGAGGGCACTCTGATCACCAAGCTGACGGCGACCTCGCCGAAGAGCGGACCGGCCAGTAACCTGATCTACGGCATAGCCGGCGGAAACGTCGGAGACGCTTTGAAAATCGACTCCCACACCGGCGAGGTAATTGAGACCGGATGCATCATGTTTTCGAGAGAAATTTGCATCGAACGGCCAAAATTACAAAATATTTTTCTCTGTATAAAAATATTTGCAGAGAGAGAGAGAGAGAGAGAGAGAGAAATAAAATAATTAAATTTGCTTGGAATATTCTACTTGACGATGCAATTATTAATATTATGTTAATATCAGTTGCTAATACAACTGTTAATACCATTATTAACGTTGCTGAATTTGTGTTTAGGTCGTGGTGGCCTCCGGTTTCGATTACGAGACTGCTCCGCACTACGAAGCTTGGATCGAAGTGCGCGACTCGGATGATCCGCCGCTACGCAGCGTCCTCCAACTGCTGGTGAACGTCACCGACGCGAACGATAACGCGCCGGTCATGGAAGCGGCAATTTACAACGCGACCGTCCTGGAGGACGAGTACCCGCCGTTATCCGTCATCAATGTGGCCGCGAGAGATCGCGATTCCGGCGAGAACGGTCAGGTCATTTATGTTTTGGTTGTACATTACAACGAGTCCTTTACCATCGACAGCAACACCGGAAGGATCGACACCAACACTAAATTGGATCGTGAAAAGGTAACCGAGCAATTATAATTACTCTTGATCGATTAACCGTATGTATATATAATTAATTAATTAAATTCTTGTGTTGAATTTTTAACGTATATTCGTGTATTAATTTAATATATTATGTTCACGTTATTTCAATATTTCGCGTTGAAGCGATATTCAACATGTGCAAGTGTTAAAACAACACATTTTATATTTCAATGTCGACTAACATATTATGCCTGTTTTGTGTTAATTTTTTACAATATTTGTAATATTACAAATTGTAATATTTACTTTTTAACATATGCATCTCGTGTTAAATTAACAGAAAAATGTATGTGGACCGTTTTGGATATGTGAAGTACGTTGAATTTAACCCAAAATATTTTGCCGCGCAATTCGTAATTCGAAGGATCTGAAAGTATCGCACATAATCGGTGACTCGTAAGTTTAAATCCCAAATTAATATGTCAAATTTCCTCGTCAGATCGCGTCTTACGAGCTGATCGTGGAGGCTCGAGACCAAGGTCATCCTCAGCTGACCGGCAGCGCGACGGTGTTGGTGACCGTGTTGGACAAGAACGACAATCCTCCGCACTTCACGCGGCTGTTCAGCGTGAACGTGACGGAGAACTCTGAGATCGGCACGTTCGTCATACGTATCACCAGCAGCGACCGGGACATCGGCCAAAACGCCAACGTCAGCTACGGCTTCACTCACAATCCAGGGGGGAAGTTCTCCATCGACGCCCTCAGCGGAAACGTTACCGTTGCCGGGCATCTCGACAGAGAAGAGCAGGACGAGTACCTGCTGAAGGTAGGAATCGTGCGGTGCACAGCAAATAATTCCGTATTAAAAACGGCCCACTGAAAATCTTTTATTACCTTCACAAGATGAATATATTAATTTGGACTGTTTTTAACATAAAATTACTATATACAATTTTTATCATCGCATTATCACACCCTAACGAATTGAAGAGCCACTCCACACCATCTCATTACAGATCGTAGCGCTGGACGGTGCGTGGAAGTCGAAGACCGACCTGACGATCACGATCCAGGACCAGAACGACAACTCGCCCGAGTTCGAGGAGAACATCTACCACTTCCACTTCCCGGAGCTACAGCCGGCGGTGGCTCACGTCGGCCAAGTGACAGCGGTGGATCATGACAAGCAGGGGCCGAACTCGGCCGTGTCCTACAGCCTGTTGCAACCGTCCGACCTCTTCACCGTCGACCCGGTGACCGGGGACGTCTTCAGCAAGCGTACCCTGCGCTACAAACACACTCACCGGCCCTCCTCGCCGGAGAACCTGTACTCGTTGACGGTGGTGGCGACCGACAACGGCAAGCCGCCGATGTCCTCGCGCTCGGTGGTCTACGTGAGCGTGGTGGACGCCAACAACAACGCGCCCCGCTTCGAGTACAGATCCTACCTGTCGCCTGTACCGGAAAATTACGGCGTCGGCAAACACATCACCCAGCTGGTGGCCCGCGACGACGCCGACTTCGGCGTGAACGCCGAGATAGACTACTCTTTGGTGAGCCTGAACGGCAGCGATCTGTTCTCCATCGAGGAGCGCTCCGGGTGGATATACGTGCGCAAGAGCCTCCACGGCATCAACGTCGACACGATGTTCCTCTTCACGGCCGTCGCCACCGACCGAGGTGTGCCGCCGCAGAAGGACGAGGTCACGTTGACTCTGGTCATCTCCGGGGAGAATCGGCACCAGCCTACCTTCGCAGCTGTTAGCTACCAGGTGAGGGTGCCCGAGAACGAGCCGGTCAACACTACGATCGTGACGGTGAGCGCCAAGGACGACGACACCGGGCCGAACGGCATGATCCGCTACAAGATCTCCGCCGGGAACGAGAGGAATGAATTCTCCGTGCACTCCATCACCGGCGCGGTCACCATATTGGAGCCTCTCGATTATGACCTGGTGCAAGAGTACCAGCTGAACATCACCGCCACCGATCTGGGCTTCGAACCGCGCCAGGCGGTGGCCACCTTGATCGTGAACGTCTCGGATATCAACGACAACCCGCCGATCTTCAACCAGAGCGTCTACGACGCCTACTTACCGGAGAACTCGCCGCCGGAGAGTTTCGTCTACAAGGTACGCTCGTGTTTTGCAGAACGCGAATTTTAACTCGCTAACACGGTCGGCAGCACAGGGCCGACTTTCGATGATTTTGCAAAACAGTCCAACTGACAATTGAAATATTAAGAATACAGTATATAAATGTAATTTGAGGTATATGTGTGTCTTTTACCTCGTTTCATCGGTTCTTTATTGATTGTAAAAAATTTGAAAATTTAATCTCAATCTTCGACTAAGATTACGATTTTCCACTGAATCTCTGATCAAAAATATTTGTGAGCCAATTATATCCTTTATCGAGTTAAACTTCAAATCTATCCTCTCTTCTTCGTACTGTTCTACCATGCCTATGATATATTCTTCCACCGAATTTAACCTTCAGGTGGTCGCTCGAGACATCGACTCGCCCAAGTACGCCGTGGTGCAGTACAAGATGCTCAGCGACAGCGCGGAGGGTCACTTCCGCATACACGGCAACACCGGCGAGATCACGTCGGTCACCAGCTTCGACTACGAGGAGGCGAACGAGTACAATCTCCACATCGTCGCGGCCAATCCCGACTCCAGTCCGCAGATGGTCGGTTTCACGACCGTGAGGGTGCACATCACCGGGGTGAACGAGTTCTACCCGAAGTTCATCCAACCGGTCTTCCACATGGACGTGTCGGAGAGCGCAGAGGTGGGCACGTCGGTCGGTCTGGTCCAAGCCACCGATCAAGACTCAGGGGAAGACGGCCGGGTGTACTACCTCTTCGTGGGCTCGTCCAACGACCGTGGCTTCTCCATCGGCTCGGAGACCGGTATCATAAGGGTGTCCCGACGGCTCGACCGCGAGACGCAGAATCGCGTGGTGCTGACGGTGATGGCGAAGAACGGCGGCGGCATACGCGGCAACGACACCGATGAGGCCCAGGTGATCGTCTCCATCCAGGACGGCAACGACCCGCCGGAGTTCCTTCAGAACTTCTACGAAGCCAACGTGTCGGAGGGCGCCGTCTACGGCACCCGGGTGGTCACCGTTCGCGCGATTGACAAGGACATACGACCGCAGAACAATCAGTTCTCGTACTCCATCATCGGCGGCAACCTCGGGCAAGGTTTCAAGGTGGACCCGCAGACCGGCGACATCGAGACGGCGAAGCATCTCGATCGGGAGACTGTGCACGCGTACGACCTGACGATCGGCGCGATCGACACCGGCTCACCACCCCAGACTGGCACTGTGATGGTGCACATCGAACTCTTGGACGTAAACGACAACGGCCCGGTCTTCGACCCGCCGGAGGTGATCGGCTATGTCAGCGAGAACGAGCCGGCAGGTACCACCATCATGACCCTGAGCGCAACCGATCCTGACCTGCCGCCTAATGGCGCTCCGTTCACCTACCGGTTGATCGGTGGAAGGCAGAGCAACATGGTCACGTTGGACAAGCATTCCGGGGTACTGAAAACCACCAGGAGCCTCGACAGGGAAACGATGCCGCAGCTAGACCTCGTGGTTAGTACTTGAAAGAATAATCGCGCACAAGAGAGAACATTGATAAGCTACTTACGCCCAGTAAGCAAGAAATCAAGAACACATCGTCACTGTTAACAACGTTTGACCCGAACGTTAAAAATAATATTTCTATGTTATGATTTTTTTCATATTTAGGGATGTATTTAATACTATAGTATATTATCAAGTAACGATTTAAAAACGTTTTTAAAATATTACGTCGAAATGTTTATAAAGTCCACATAAAATCAATGTTTCAAATGATTGATTTGAATGTTTCTCGCTTACCGGGTAATTTGTATAATTACAAAGTTACACAAAGTGTCACATGACATACTGTGCAAATTTAAGGAACATGTTTTTGATGTGAATTAAAGCAGAAAGTGTCTTAGAAAGATGGGTCTAATTCAGAACGGTCACCCATCTACAAGCGTAAAGTTAAAGTTTAATAATTTCTTCTAGCCTTTTACTGTTATTATTACTTCCCACGTTTCTCTTCTTCTCTTTGGAGAGTAATAATATAACAAAATCGATATGTTATTCGTCGATTTATAATTTTCCGTGATCGTAGGTCGAAGTTGAGGACTCGGGCGTACCGCGGATGAAGAGCGAGAACACGGTAACGGTGATCGTCACCGACCAGAACGACAGCCCGTCCACGTCGAGGTCGGTGCACGTGATCGTGTACTCCTTCAACGGGAAGACTCCGCTGGGAAATATCGCCGACGTGCATCCGAACGATCCGGATACCACCGGCGCTTACTCCTGCAGGATCCTGCCGGGCTCGAACTCGCGCGTGCTCGCGATCCCCATCGCCTGCGATCTGCACGTCAACAAGATCACATCCGGAGTTGGCTATTCGTTGAGCGTCTCCGGCAACGACGGCCGGCACCCCGACGTCGTCTCCAAGGTCACCGTCGAGTTCCTCATCTTCTCGAACGCCACGATCGAGAACAGCGTTACCTTGAAGATCTCCAAGATGACTGCGAAGGATTTCCTCAGCCGATACTACCGACCTCTGCTGGATCTCCTGCACGAGAAGGCCGACGTCGGCGACATTTTCACCATCTTCAGCATCGGCGACGACGATCCGGACCTGAACGTCTACATAGCGGCGAAGTCATCGCAGGGATACCGTTTGAAGTACGACGTCGTGGATCTGCTGTCGCGCAATAAAGAACAAATCCAGTCGCTGCTCGAAGGCAAGTCGTTCACCATCGGTTACTCACCGTGCAAGCACGCCCCGTGCGAGAACGGGGGCAGCTGCAGCGACCGATTAGCGATATACGACGACGCCAGGATCACCGACAGTCAGGCGCTGATTCTGACGTCTCCCCGGGTGCTGCACGAGATGGTCTGCAAGTGTCGGGACGGCTTCATCGGCGACAGGTGCGAGAAGAGGCAGGATCCCTGCTCGCCGAACCCCTGCTTGCTGGTGAGTAGAGATTAAGAGTCTTTTCTTCTCTCCCTTTTCCCTGTATATCTTGGGAATCTTTATATTTTGCAATTAGATCGAGAGACTCGTAGATTTAGAAAATGATTAAAACTATTTTCTACTTAATCTTATACTAGACCTAAACAGTTCACTCCTTTCCCTCATCTTTATCCTTCCTACCTTATTTCTCTTCTCCTACATATCCTTTCCTTTATCACTAACTTTACCTCTTTCCTCCTTCCTCTTCTTCAACTTCTTTTCTCTCTCTCTCTCTCTCTCTTTCTTTTTTTCCACAACTTTCCCAATATATTTCCCTCAACTATACAAACAAAATGCTCACAAATTTTCTACTGTTCTCATGATGAATTTCACAAAGTACGGATAATTATTGACTCATCATCCATCGTGGAATAGTTCTTCCGTGTTGAAGCTGTTCAGAATGATCTGGATTTCCTTCCTCTTGCTTGCAGGAAGGACAATGTCGGCGCCTGGGATACGACTTCCAGTGTATCTGCCCGATCGACCGCGACGGCAAGCTGTGCGAGCTCGAGAGGGGCGACGCGTGCGCCAGCAATCCTTGTCGGAATGGCGGCTCCTGCCAGAAGAGTCCGGACAGCTTCAGCTTCTTCTGCCTGTGCCGGGCGGGCTACAGAGGGAACCACTGCGAGGCGGTGTCCGATTCTTGCCGCCCGAATCCCTGCCTGCACGGCGGCCTGTGCGTGAGCGAGAAACCCGGGTACCGATGCAGCTGTCAGGAGGGCCGCTACGGACGGCACTGCGAACGATCGACCTTCGGCTTCGACGAGCTGTCGTACATGGCATTCCCGACGCTGGACGCCAGCACAAACGACATCACCATCGTGTTCGCCACCAACAAGCCGAACGCGCTGCTGTTGTACAATTACGCCGCGCACACCGGCGGCCGTTCGGACTTCGTCGTGCTCGAGCTGGTGAACGGCCGGGTGGTGTTCTCCTATGGCGGTGCCAGGAGCGCGATCACCTCCGTCACCATCAAAACCGAGAATCCGGTGTCGGACGGCATGTGGCGCAAAGTCACCGCCACGAGGAACGGCAGGTCGGTCTCGCTCAGCGTGTCCCTCTGCACGGAAAACGGCGACATCTGCGACGACTGCAAACCCGGCGACGGCAATTGCTACGCGACCGAGACGGGCCAGACCGGGTTGGTGTCACACTATTTATATCTCTGTCTTATCGGTTTCATTTCATTTTATTTTCATTCTTATATAATTTTGTTTTTATTCCGTAAAAATGTAATTCTGCTTAGAAATCCTCGTTTAACAATTGTGTAAATTGTATTTTATATCAATTTGTCTTCCATTTTAAAAAGTTTCCTTTGGAATTTCCTTATTCAACATTTTTCCACTTATACAATTTTCAATAAACGTCGTAAAGAGCGGAAGTTATCGCGGCAACTTGGAATCGATTAGCATCAACGGCTTAACGCTTGACGCGTATTTGCAGGACGCTGAACTTCAACAATAATCCTCTACTGCTGGGCGGCTTGAAGGACGCCGACCCCGTGCTGGAACGTTCAGGCCAGGTGCATTCCGACGATTTCGTCGGCTGCATTCAATCGGTGTCGATAAACGGCAGATCCCTGAACCTGACGAATCCGCTGGCGTCTCGCGGCGTCAAGTCCACATGCGTCCGGTCGCGGAAGAGTCCCTGTTTGAGGGGAGACGAGAACGAGCCCGTCTGCGGCGCGGAGGATCAGTGTTACGACAAGTGGCACCAGGTGATGTGCCAGTGCGGGTCCGTGATAGCGCCGAATTGCCACGGCGCCTTCGAGCCCGTCACGTTGAGCGAGGGTGGATTCGTGGAGTTCAAGGTGAGAGTCAGCAAACATGCTTGGAGTCTGATCGATATTAATGACCAAATAGTATGAATAACTTGAAAATACTACACTGTGCATTGATATACGCAATGTGATATCACGCAGGTAACGGAGAAGCACAAGAGGATGCAACTGTTAGTGGAACTCTACGGCGGCTCCACCAGATGGCACGGCACGAATCGCACGAAACGCGACATCGCACAGGACACGAGCTTCATAACGAATCCTTCGCCCTTGAAGACGATCGGTCTGATGTTCAGAACCGTGAAGTCCAACGGGATCCTGATATACGCCGCTACCAATACGCATTTCACATCTGTAGAGGTGAGGAGACATTCCCTCTCTCTCTCTTTCTCTCTCTTTCTATCTCTCTTAATCTCTCTTCATTCTGCAGAGAATATTGAAATTCGGCCTGAATTTCAACAACAGCCGGTTGCTCGTTACCAGCGATATCGGCCTCGATATTTAACAATATCGAAAAATGAACACTTCAGCTTTACACAGTTATTGTCTTCGTCAAATATTCTGACTTCGTTTAATTAACCACGACACCACCTTTCAGCTCCGTGACGGACAGCTGATCTACATGTCGCAGCTCAGAACGGCGGTGAACATGTCGGTCAACATCGAGGGCGGCCTCGCCGACGGGCATTGGCACAACCTGACGCTCCACGCTTATTCGCGAGGATTGAGGCTGCTGGTCGACAACGTGCTGAGGGGCGACGAGCTGGATTTAACGAGTATCCACGACTTCTTGGACCCTTACTTGTCCGTCCTGTCGATCGGTGGGGCCAGCCAAGACTTCTATTATGTTCACGGCGCCGGCGCGAGGAGCTTCGAGGGTTGCTTGGCGAACTTCACCATCAACAACGAGGTGCAGCCGTTCAACGGTTCCGGCACCATCTTCAAGGACGTCACCTACCGTGGCAAAGTGAGCACCGGCTGCAGAGGGCCGATCGGCATCAGCGCGGCCGCCGACGCGGACCCGCTCAGCATCGGCATCACCCTGGTGATCGTCTTCTTCGTCATACTGCTGATCGCGATCCTGGTCAGCTTCATAGTCTTCCGGCTGCGCCGGCAGAATAAGGAGAAGTCGGCGCCGTCGGTCGTCAACAAGAACACCAACGCCATCATCGCCGGCAATCCGCTGGTCGGCGCCGGCGGCGACAACCTCATGTCCCGCCATGAGAACACGTACATCTCCGACACATCGGACCTGCGCGGAGTCGGCCACATGGGGCCCGAGCTCATCTCCAAGAAGTACAAGGAGCGCGAGATCAACTCCGCCGCCGAGCACCGGCCCCAACGACCGGACATCATCGAGCGGGAGGTCACCAAATCGCCGCCCATCCGCGACGAGCACCCACCACTGCCGCCGCCTGCCCAGACCTCTCTTCACTCCCACGAGCACAACCCCGAGCCCGATATCCCGGAGCACTACGACCTGGAGAACGCCAGTTCCATCGCGCCCAGCGACATCGACATCGTGTATCATTACAAGGGCTACCGCGACGGAATGAGGAAGTACAAGGCCACTCCGCCTCCTATTGGTGAGAACCATCGCGAGTAAAATTCAAATTATCTCGATAAGTCCGGGTTTATAATGGGTGTAGCAAACCAGTAAGACGGAAATATTAAGTCGATCTTTCGAAACCTTGATTTTGTGTGGATTTTATTACATATAAATATTTTGGAATATTATTTTGTGAAAACCATGCGATACAGCACTTAGAGCAAAAGACTGAACGTTTACCGCTACTTACCGGTGTATCCGGACTAAAGAGGCACTATCCGCGCAGGTAACTACGGTAACCACCACAAGCACACGGGGCAACAGCACCGGCACACCGGTCCCTTCCCCCCGCGGACGATGCCGCCGCCCAACGTGAGCCAGCCGCCGGGGCCGGCGCCGAAGTTGCTGCAGAGCACCCCTCTGGCGAGACTGTCGCCCAGCAGCGAGCTCTCGGCGCAGCAGCCGCGGATCCTGACGCTGCACGACATCAGCGGCAAGCCGCTGCAGAGCGCCCTGTTGGCCACCACGTCGTCGTCGGGCGGCGTCGGCAAGGACGCGTTGAACTCCAACAGCGAGAGAAGCCTGAACTCGCCCATTATGAGCCAGCTGTCGGGCTCGACCGCCAGTAGGAAGGCGCCGCAGTCGAACAACGAGAACTCCGTGAACAACGTGTCGTCGGGGCCGATGGGTCTCACCGCGGAGGAGATCGAGCGGCTGAACTCCCGGCCGAGGACGTCCAGCCTGGTCTCCACGTTGGACGCGGTGAGCTCGTCGAGCGAGGCGAGGGGGCCGCCGGCCCACGGGCCTCTCCACCATCACCGACGGCACACGCCGCCGGTGGAGAGGCTCGAACGGCGCAACTCGTCGACCACCGACGAGAGCGGTAACGACAGCTTCACCTGCTCGGAGATCGAGTACGACAACGGATCGTTGGTGGGCGATAAGCGGTCGGACAACCTCTTCGCCAAGCAGGACGACGAAGAGGTCGGCCAGCGTAACAACGAGTCCGGGCAGTCGACGAAGCCGCCGTTGCCGCCGAACGTCAACTACGACGGTTTCGACAGCTCGTTCCGCGGCTCCCTGAGCACCCTCGTCGCCTCGGACGACGACCTGTCGACCCATATGGGCGCTCTCTACAGCAGCAGGCACGCCAGCAACGGCTCGCCGGCCCTCACCGAGGACTATCTCAGCTGGGACTACGTGCTCAACTGGGGGCCCAACTTCGAGAGCCTCGTCGGTGTCTTCGTCGACATCGCCGAGCTCCCGGACAGCGCCAGTCGAGTGCCCAGCACGCTGCGATTGCCGGCGAACATCCCTAAGCCGTCCGAGGAATACGTCTGAGAGAGAAAGAGAGGGAGAAACAGGCCGACGGAGACGACAAAGACGGTACTTCGAACGGCTGCTCGCCGGAACGATTTAGTGGACTGACGGGTTTTCTTTTTCTTCTTTAATTTAGTGACGATCGCGAGCGGTCTCGTTCGGGGAACGGAAAGGTCGAACCCGTGCCGGAGGAGTCCCCGCGATCTAGCAGCGTCGAAACGTGTTTCTAGTTCGAACTCTGCAATCGTCGTCGGTCGGTATTAATAGCGAGCAGTTAGTCGCCACGTCCGATATCCGGCTCGAGGAACTTGGAGCGTACGCTCGAAGGAGAAAGCGCCGACCTGTCGAAGGTTGGGCTCTCGAGTGTTCCTGGAAGGAAGAAGAGTCGTCGCGACTCGTGAAACCGCGATGAGCCGCCGGCCGCATATCGAACGTGTGATCATCTTGCCATAAAAAGTGTAAAGAAGGGAATCCCCCCTCCCGAAGTGAACGGACCACTCGTTCGTCTTACACGGACACACACATACACTTTCCGGGGACACCCCGTGTTGTCTCGTACTGCGTATCTATTATCCTGCGAATTTGTAAATATCGATTGACGCGTGTCAAACAATCAAAAAACGCGACTCCCAGTCGTCGGAGTGCGCGATACGTCCACTTTCGATCGTACGATCGATCAAACTGTAAAGAGAGAGAGAGAGAGAGAGAGGAATTTCGCGATCTGGAACGTCAACCGCATGGCATTTCGCGTTAGCTTGTAGCGCGATCGCATGCGAAAGTCCCCGAATTAAATGGAACTGGATGATTCACGCGGGATGCCAATTGCGCGTCGAATGCCATCGTAGTTGCATAAGCGAGATGGGGAGACGTGCGACTGAGTATCGAGGCAGGTCCGATTAACTATTAAATAGTAACTGTTCTGTATATATCCTAAGGAAAAAAAAACAATCCCGTGCCAGATACACGCTGGATACAGTCGCACACGTCGCGTTAATTGTCGATTCCACGGTCGGTGAATGAAGCGAGATGAAGCGTGGTAGCCATTAAACACCAGCTAACAGTCGTATCGGGAAGAAAATTCCCATATATAATTATATGTACGATTACATATAATTATATATAATTATATATGGAGTGGTAATATAATTATATATGATTGCATATAAATATATGAATCAATATGTAATTATATATAATCATAAATTATTATGACATTATAATGACATTCTAAATATAATTATAAGAAATTCTCCCCCCGGGATTGCAATTCATGCGTTGTATTGGAGAGATAAAATATTTTCCCGTATAAATATAAAAGTAAGTAAGTAAATAAATAAAAACATCACATCGGTATTATAATTTTCCGCTCGATGATGTAACTGTCACGTGCAACGTTATGTCGCATTTACATTGTTGAGCAGGAAATGATAACATTGACGCGATGTTACTGTCGGTTGGTGTTCATTGAGCAGCCGCGGTCGGATATTGTGAATTCGTGCTCAATTCGTTCGTATATCGTTAGAGGCAATAAAAGAGAAATAGAGAAGAAGGAAAAACACGTATACGTGGACGCGTATTCTGCGCGGCGTTCCTCGAGAGAAGAAGCGGCCGCCGCGGGATTCGCGCGAAGAGACCGCCAGACTGATCCTTTTCCCTCCTCCAGCGCGCGTTTCACGGTCGTGAAACGCCTTTTTTATATTACCTTGTAAATTATGAGACTCGCCACCACCTCCCCCTCCCCCTCGGCCCGTCTCATTCCTGTAAATAGTGACGCCGTGAGCGCGTGAACTGTACAAAAAAAAGTGCGAATGCGTGTGCGTGTGTGCCTGTGTGCGTGCCACTCTATCATCACGTCGATCGTACTCGTAATAGACGACAGATTTATAAAAGCTGCTGCGTGATTTCTCATTGGCCCTTCCTCGCGCATCCCTGCCCGCGTCCCAGCCCGAGGAGGGCTCGAACGCTCTCCGCACGGTGAAAAATTCCGTATTAAATCCAACATATTTCACGTGTCCCAAATTTTCGTGCCCTGCCCAAATTTCTGTGTTGTAATCCAACGCAAGATGAATACGTTGAAAAATAACACGGATATTATGTCAAGAATTGACATAAAATTACCACCTGCAACGTATGCGAAATTATTTTTCATTCTATGTCGGATAATTTCGTAAGTCAACGTAATCGATTTCGTTGGATTTCAATGAAAGATTGTGTATTTGTAGAGATTATGTGTATTTTTTTTTTCTTTTTCGAGTCAATCTCGAAAAGAACTTTCGCCTCAGAAAAAGTTCGCCGTCAGTCGATGAATCGACGAAGGGATCCCTCCGCTGCGATCTTCATCTCTTGCATCGCTGTCAGATAATTTTGTCAAAACGATCAAGGCCTATCTCGCGTCGCGTACGTGCGGGACGTCGGATCAATCAATCGCCAATTATCTCGCGCATTTGATTAATTATTTCTTGAGAACGAATTCTTGGCCGAGATACGACGGGACGGAGTGTCGCGCGTAGCGCGAAGGTCGACCGTCCCGTCCTTCTCCGTTCGTCGGCTCACCGGAATCCGCGATCTATCGGTTATAATGTGCAGATAATGATATCTCCAGTTCCGTCATACGACGACGATCTCCTGAATAGCGCCTACGCAAACATTAGACTGTTCGCCGACGAGACCTGGAGCTACGACCGCGAGGATCCCTATCGCAAACTGAATCGTTCCCTCTGGATCAAGGTGAGACGAGTGTGCCTTCGAATATCTACCTCTTCGAACGATGTACATCTCAAATAAATTGAAGTATACCTTAAATTAAAACATAAATATACAGGATGTCCGTCGCCAAGTGAGCCATCCGTCATATACTTGTAGTTTAAGCCAATATGAACGAAAAGTCTGCCACTTTGCAAACAGTGGCACAAAATTTTGAGTTATTAATTATTGAAAATTGCCGTGTGTAAAGGTTTTAATTGATAATTTAAAAATTTGCGAAATGGTAAAGGACTTTTCGTTCACACTGACCTAAATTGCAAGTATATAACAGATGTCCCACTTAGCGATGGACATCCGGTATATCTTAAATCTTAAAATATATCTCTCGAATTAGATACTCAAGCCGCGTTATCTCTATATCTCCGTGCACCCCTCGCGAAAGCGATCGCGAGGGGACGAATTATTGTTATTATCAAGCAAGTATTTATTTTCGGATCTCTCCTGCGAGACAACGTTGAGGGTAAACGAAAATACACCGGCGCGCGGATGTGTGCATATCTCGTTTGCGGAAGATAACGAGAGTGTTATTAAATTATTAAACACGACGGAAGGAGGGAGGGAGGGAGGGAAGGAGAGAGAGAGAGAGAGAGAGAGAGAGAGAAAGAAAGAAAGAAAGCGAGCGAGCGAGAGAGATATGTAACCGTGTGCCGTGCACAGAGCAAGGCTTTTTTTCGAAAGGGGGAAAAAAAGAGAGGGAGGGCGATTCATTCCGACGTAACGATAACTTATTATTAACGTCAGAGTTGCGAAGTAACCGCGAAGTACGAGGAAAATGGTGATTACCGTCCGAGACTCGTCCGAGATGTCATCTCTGAATCGCGTTTGGCGAAGTACGGTAATTACGAGTACGACGAGCGGCGCGAGAGAATGTACAGGCCGGACGACGGTAAATCGTCGGGCGGGCTACGGCACTTCCGTCCAGCGGAGGCTACGGAACCATGGATGCTCCCTGAAGTTCAAGAACACTTCGCCCGGTGGTTAATCTCGCCGAGCTGCACGCGAGCGCATCGGGAACCGTTAGTCCGCCTCGGCACTTTCGTGTCGTTTTTTATATTTCCGAAGTCGCGCGCGAGAGAAAAAAATCCGCCGGGAGACGGGCGCACGCTCGAGCTCGGCTCAAGACGCCCGTCCGTTTGGAATTGATGACCGAGAGAGAGAAAGAGAGAGAGGAAGAGAGGAGTGTCGAATCGCGATACTCCAGGTTCTCGATGATTCCGTACGGGAGGGGGAGAAAAAAAAGGACCGGGCATTATTTGGACCGGAAGTATTTGGGAACGTTGATATAGTCATCATTAATTGTCTCGTTCATCATTAATATGTACGTGTAATTTGCAAAGTTCAGCACTACCGGTTCCGAAGTGCGACACTGCGAAGAGGGAGGACGAGGCGACTCGCTCGAGCCTCCAATCGATCGACGATTGGAGCGAGGGGTCGAAGAAACGACGCGAGAAGATCAAGAGCCCGACGGAGAGCGGGAGGGTCGGGTCGCAGGACGAGTCGCTTCCGACTCGGAAATTCGACGGTAGGCACGACGCTCTCGCACGCTCTCCCTGCGGAAAAAAAGCTGCCGAATGCGAAAAAGTTACTGGCACACTATCGAGGAACTATTGTTCTTCAATAGTGTATCAACCATTCTTTCGCATTCTTGTAATTTTTCTTTCCGTACGGGTGGAAAAAATCCCATATTTATATGCGATAATTTAACATTCGACGACTGTGGTATCTTAATACTTCGCTCGGGTCAATTTCACCCGTAAATGCCAAACTAGGATTAAATAATCGATCGGATTAATCGGATTTTGTCGAGTGTCAAGTCGTCGATTAGATTAATCAAAGTTTGGTGGAAATCAGCCGGAAAATTCGACTCGCTCGTCCTACCTCTCGCCGCGTGTGTCTCGCAGTCGCAGAACCGCGCGAGAAATCCACCAGGACGTTCGCCCATCGTCGATACACCGTCGAGACCGCCGCGGAGATGCAGCTGCGGTCGCGCATCGAGAGCGACGCAGTGCGCGACATTTGGAATCCCGAAAGGTCCCAGCGGCGCCAGCAATCCCAGCAACAGGCACAGCAATCGCAAGCGACCCGGCAGACACCGGGCGTGCCGCGACCCGTCGCCGCTGCCCATCAGCACCACCACCAGCAATTCTACTGCGCCTTGCAGTGCCAGCCGTTGATCCTGAAGACGGAATACCAGAGACGAGCGTTGCAACCGCCGGCGGCGATGCTGAGCGCCGAAGTGCCGGAATTCTTCCCGAAATCGAGCCCGATTACCTACCCGAGCGGCGATCAGGAATGCGGCAAGGCACCTTGCCAGATGCGCTACTTCCCGTCGTTGAACGACAGGAATTATCAGGGCGAGCTGTTCCCCTACAACCGGCCGCAGCAGGAAACCACGGCCATGTTTCCGGTGAGCAGCGTCGCGCGTCGAGTTCTATCTTCCATGATCTGACGTTCCATGCGAATTCATTTTTATTTTTCATTCGATACATTACGACTTGTCTCGCGTATCTTCACCTTAGTTTGGAGAATCAACTCAAATCGCGAAATCATCGTCCAGCATCAGAATCTCGAAATGTTCTAACTTCTAATTACCTTAGAGCTGACGTGAATCTAACGTTTGTCGCACCATTTCAGTTTTTCGTTTGAAACTTTCTTATACATTTTTATATCAGATTGTTGTCTTACATTTTTCCCGAATCAAGTTAGATCGCAGAATCCTCGATTTTGTAATTACCTTAGAATCCGTGTAAATTTAACATCTGTTGCTTCCCAGCAAACGTGATGACGTATCAACGGCGGCAAACGAATCAGCAAATATCACCGACGTATCATGTTAATCGAATTTATCGCTTGGCGTTCATTGCGAGTCAACATATTCTAACGAACTTCTCGTGGTTCCGCAGAATCCGAGGATATCCGTGTTGCCGGCGGCGGAGACGAGCATCTACCGGACGCCTCAGGAGTGGATCCAGAGGATTGTCCCGCCGATGCAGGCAGCGGCGGCAGCGTCGTCCACGTCGCCGGTCTACATGTCGCTGCAGCCGATCCACGACGTCGCGATCGCCCATCGTCCCTTTCAGGTGCTTCTTCTTCCAGGAAAACCGGGCGAGTCGCGGGTGACCTTTCTCTCTCCTCCTCCGACGTTCGCGCAAATGACACGTCGCGACTTGCAGACGTACGAGAGATTTCTGCCGTGCGTCCAGCATCAGCCGAGTCCGACGGCGATACCGGTGTACCAGCGACCTAGTGAGCTTTACCAAGAGCCGACGTCGAAGCGGAAGAGCCACGGGGTCGACTTCAACAACCTCATCCTGCTGACAAAGAACAGCTCGAAGACGCGACGCGGGCACGCGAAGGGAGGCGCCCAGCAACCCCTCCCGCCGGAACCCGCGCAGAAGGACCCGAGACCCGGCACGGGGCAGTGGCTCGACAAGGATTGCACGAGGAAGACGAAAGGCGTCGTGACCGTGAACGCGTTGGTATCCGAATTACGCAGCTTTGAGGAGAAGTACGAGCACGGTCGAGCCGGCACCAGTTGGGCGACCGACTCGCCACCACGGCACAGGTCGTGTCCCGAGGGCACGAGGTCGAAGGACGGGGTCTTCGGGAAGGAAGGACCGCGATGCAGACTCGTGGACGGCGAAGAAAGGGACAGGAGGACGAAGCGACCGCTCTATAGGGACGTCTTGGCGAACGCCACCGCCGGCCAACAAGGAGTGCTCCTGGAGAACGTCTTCGAGAGGAGGTGGGCGAGAGGCTCGGCAGAGACGCGGGAGACGCGGGTGGAGATGAATCGTCGATTATTCCCTGACTCGAATTTCTTTGACGTTTTGATGATCTTCAGGTACGACGAGCTCGAGCAGCAGGCGATGGAGCAGTATAGGAACTCGGAGGAGTCGTTGGCGCTCAAATACCAGGTAATGGTGGACAGTGTTAAAAGGCTCCTGGAGCCTGGAGACGCTGCAGGCGTCTTGTTTCGTCACGTCGGAAGAGAGGAAATGCATGCCGAGAATTCTTGCAATATGCGCGTTCCAAAAAGAAGGATTACTCGCAAAATGACGATTGTGATCGACTAATCGTGAAATTAAGATGACGTGCAACTTTTCCTTTTAATCCAACTTCTCTCAAGAATTTCTCGCGTTAATTCTGCAGCTGTTTTTTGATTGTTCGAGCAAAAGGAAAGGTGTTCGGAGTATTTGACAAGTGCGCTGAATCGATCATGAATGTCATTTTTGTGTTTTTTTTTATATTTGAATGTATACTGCAAGGATTCTAAGCATGAATTTTCTCGCTTCTTAAGTTATAAAACAAGATGGTTGCGTAGCGAGTGCACGACAGACTTAATCCAGAGCAAAGAAACAGGCGAGTTGGGGAGAATCGGGAAGCACACGCGCTGTCGAATTGCAGGAACTGGAACGTCAGGCGATGGAGCAGTACAGAAACAGCAACGCAGCGGACGAGAAGCGGACCGATCCGGTGTCGCACGGGGACCAAGATTGCCTCGACGGACGAAAGTGTTCAGGATATGGACAGTGCAGTCCTTCGAGGGCAGCTCGAGAGGAGAAAGGTAAGAGGGCTGAGGATTCCACAATTGATCGACTCGTCTTCGGGAGAATTAAAAGACAAAGGTCCGTGCTGAACTAACTTCTGCCGATAAAAGTGTCTTAAACATGGCTTCTCAGCCAATCAGGCGGTCCCTGCGAGCCTTTAAACCTAGAATTCTAATCGATTAAATTGAGTTCAGAATTATGAAGCAAAGTCCACGATGTCGCGTTATAATCGAAAGTAAACAAAGGACAAGAGCCAAGTAACGTTTTATTCTTGTAAGGATTTATTTACGCTCTTACTCGCCTTTTATTACTTTTTGATTATGTATCTTTAAGTCTTATAATATGCGTCTGCCACTCCTCGACGAAGGTCTTCCATTCTTCCTTCTCTCTCCAGATTCGTCGTCGGATTCTTGCCTCCCGCAGCCGCAAATCACTCTGCTGAGGCCGAAGGGGAAATCCCTGCCGAACGTCTTCCAAGGGTTATCGGGCTGCCTTCCAAGGCAGACCGCCGTCGGCTCGAGGAGCCTGTCCACGTTGACCGACAGATCATCGAAGGAATCGAAAAACATATCCAAGGGTGCATCAGGAGATAAGATCGACACGAGTAATTGAACGGACGACGTACTACAACGTCGTACTTGCGAGGTTACACAATCGATCACGGCGCAAGCACCGACTGCGTAACCCGTTGTATCTTATTGTCTCGTTTCCGACTGCGAATAAAACTGCGCTCGTCCTGGAAGTTTCAGTGCGGACATCGTCGAAGCGGCGTCTGATACTGGTGTCACCCTTCGAGCGCAAATCAGAGGCCCGACTGGTGAGGATGACGGAGCTGCGGGAGATCCGCTCGCGAGCGAGGGGGGACGTCCTCGACTGTTGTCGGTCCCCCGAAGTCGCATCGAACGGCAGCGGCGACGAGAACATAACGATCATACAATCGCCCGGCACGGAAGGTACGGTCGGGGCAAGTGGGTAACTCGGTAACCTCGAAACTTGTCAAATTCACCGAGGCGATCTCCCCTCAGTTTGGCTGTCCGGGTTCTGGACCACCTGAGGGAAAGTGCGGGTGTCCTCGTAGAGAACACTCGTGGATTTTCCGTGCCGGAGTGGGCGTGTCACTCACGGAGGCGCGATGACACGTGGGGAATCGGACGAGCTGCCACACACGTGCGATGTGATCGCGCGAAATCACGAGACACCACGGCTACTCAGGAAGCCGTCGAGCCGTCCAAACCGTCGCTTGTAAATAGTGAGAAAGTAGGCCGATTCCGCGACTTTCAACGACGACTGTCGCGGAAAGTTGCAGAACACCAAGTCTACGGGCGTTTCTAATTATTTCGAAGTACGGTGAGCGTGTTTATTCGTTCGTATGTATATATATATAAGCGCGTACACTCTACGAGGGATACATCAACACTATAAAATACGTTACATATATATATATATATATATATATATATATACTATATTTTCTCTATAAAAAAAGAAGGAAGGTAACAAATCTAAACTGGCTACGTTGTTCGAACTTCCAAGCGCGATATGTACTTATGGTTCCCTCTGTGTGAGCATGTAAATAGGATCAGGCATATCCGTGGAGACACACGCGAGAATTTGTTCCAGTCAGTCTTACCTCGGGGTAGCGATAAAAAGTAAAAGTATTACAAAATAAAAGTGTAAAAAAGTCTCTACAAAAGTCATGTTGTATAGAAAATACTCCGCTGGGTACTACCTATATTAATTATGTAATGCCTCTGGCTTTCACGCATACACACACACACACACGCACGCAACTATTACTTTTATACAATATAAAAAAAAAAATCAGGTCATATCGCTCGAATATATGCACGAATAAGAGTGAATTCAGGAGGGAGGGGGGTGGGGGGGAGGAAATCGCGTTTCCGCAAGACAGCGGCTTACCAGTTATCGAGAAATTCAAATCCAGTCTTTGGTATACTTCTCTCCTCCTCTTCTTGGTTCAGTTGGGTCGACTGGAAGCTGCTGTAGGAACTCGGCGTCTCCAACAGGGCGGTAGACTCGTTTATGTCGCTCGACTTGGTCCGCGACATCATCACTAAAGTATTGGACTGACTCTTGTCCGTGTCGGAGTCCCTCTCCCTCACCAGACTCTCCATGTCGTCATCCTCAACGTTGCTCTGCAACTTCAACAAGGAGGTCTTGTTGATCAGCTTGGCGAAGATACTGTCGGAGTGTTCAGTGTCCATTTCATTGGTCAGCAAATCACTGCACTGATCGTTCTCGAACAGACTGCTGGCGTAACAGTCCGACTGGTAACAGCTGACTTGGTGAGCTGAGCTGTAACTGTCGCTCAGGGAACAAGGATTGCTCCTCTGTGCCGTGATGGGGCTGGTGGAGAAGTGCGGAGACTCTCCGAAATGAGTCCTCATCGACTTGGACTTGGGATCTTCGCCGGAGTCTATCAGACTCAGATTCATCTGCGACTGTGTCATGAATGAGAACGGTGCTGAGTGCTCGTCTCGCCATTTTAGTGTCTGAAACAAGATTTGTCGGTCTGGTAAGTCCGATGTCTAGATAAGTTCGAGCGTTGGTAACACCACATTGGTTGCATTCAGCAGAACGTATTATTTCACAACTGTTGGAAGTTTCCTGTGCTGAGATCGGATTGTTTCTCTGGATCTAAAAGAATAATCCAGTCTAAGGTCCAGGGAAACTTCCAACGTTTGCAAAATATACGTTGTACCGAACGTGGTTCCTCGCAGCAGCTGGTACTCACAGAACCAGTCTCGTCGATGACATATTTCATTCCAGTCTGTATACGCAGCTTCGGATACCATTCGGGTAACTCTTTGGTCAGCTCCAGCTTCTTCAGGGTGTACTTTAACGCTACCTCAGGTTGAATTATAGTCTCGTTGATGGCTTGATTCCGCTCCGCCGTGCTCAGAGTATTCCACAAGCCCTCGTAAGCCTCTTTCGTTGCAGTTATATCCTGGCCGATCCTCTGAGCCAGAGGATTGATATTGTACAGGTACTGCTCTGCTTTGGACGCAAGGCTGCTGGAGCCCATCCCGCTATGCTGTAATACAAGAGTTCACCAATGTTGGGATTGCACGAATTTGGTGTAAATATCGACATTGATATCGCAGGTGTGATTAGCGAGTAAGTGTTAAACGCAAAAGGCACATTTACCGAATGTTTGACAATAACATAAACAGCAGTGAGGAGTGTTGGTCACATTGACATTCGCGATCATTGATTGTTACAACGTCACACGATGATCGAGGATGGGGACATGGCTGGCTTGAGTGTACACACGCGTAAACTGTACACTAACGTTAAAAATTACGTTCATTCATATGCTGTTACCGATACGCTTACGAGCGAAAATTTCAATTAAAGGTAATCACATGAGCGCAGAGACAGGAGGTATCGGACCGATGAATCGATGCTCGATACTTCGCCTGTCAGAGGATCGATTACTTTCTCGATTACTTTCTTGGACCCCTTGGCTTAAGCCCGTTATTTTTGGAAGAAAATAACGGGGCAAAAAAATTAGGGTTTCCAGATTATCAGACCCGTTATTTTTGGAAATTAGTTCCCAAGTCTCCGCTACGAGGAGCTACTTTCTGTACCAAAGAATCGAAATCGTAGTACAACTCAACGATAAGTCAGGCGTCATTTATTCTATCCTGAGAAAAAGGAAAATTCAACGGACTGTAACTTGGGTAAAAATGACGCTATCGAGGTAATTCGAAAAGCATTTTGCAGCTTGAAGTCTCTAGTTTTAACTATATTGATATCATAATTTTGTTTTCATTTTCTTCTAAAATATAGCCAGAGCTCGTCAAACTTCATAAAAAATTTTGACATTTGACGAATCTCGATTTTTATATGTATAACATTCTAATAGATAAGTTAATTATATATTATAAAATATATTCGACAAATAGAGACTTTGTGTTATAAAATGTCCTTAGAACAATCTCATTATCTTTCATTTTGCCGACGTTACGGCTCATTAAATTTTATCTATTATTCATGGTCGAGAAAAACAAGTAAAATTTAATTCTCTTTCTTTTTGTAATGAAATTATATTTTTGTAATGAAAATAAAATATCTTCAATTAAAATATCTTATAATTTAAAATATGTATTTACTATGTCATTTTGATTATCAGAAGAAATATAAGCAGGAAATATATTTTGTAAAATACATTCAAACATGATCTTTTACATATAACTTTATCTTATTATTAGGAAGGAGTAATTAGTATTATCATCTTCTAAATATCTTGTGATATAACTCTTTGAACATCACGATATAAACGTGATAATCTAGAGGCAGGAAAAACAGGGAGACATCAATGAAACACTCGGATGAAAAAAGAGAATAACATGTCTATATTATTTTTCTCTTTTAAACGAATAAGATTACTCGATGAATCAACTAAACTAAAATATTCTCTAGTATTAAGATGCGAAACAAAAAGAGATAAGACAACGTTTCAGAAACTGTATAACTCGCTTTACGCTCAACATTACAACGGAATAAAAATTCTATAAACATATACCTAGCGTTTCATTAAATAAAAACGAACGATACAATGCCCAACTGTAATGTTAACTGTAACTTGTACGTCCGAGTTGCGACGGAAATGTCATATACGTTATTCTCTTTATTATTATACAAATATATACAACATTAATGTATCTCGTAATCAGTCGCACGCGATGATAGACCGTTCTTACGAAAATCCGTCAAAATAAATCACTAATAAATCACTTAAATCCTACACAGCGCATATAATGAATGGCGATAATTATTTACACGTAACAATATCCTAACAGGAATGATAATAAATAATAAATTGCGCATGATATCGTGCGTGTGAATTATATTCTTATTTATTAACTATATTTTATGTCCGGTACTTTTTTTACTTTTATAAAGAAATCGCATTAAGTATAAACGGATATGCAGAATGTTCCAACTGAGCAACCGAACCGGGTTGTATCCTCTGGAAATTACCGGAAATAAAAAAAGAATATTAGAGAGGACAAAATTACCTGATTCTGTTCTACACAGTTTATCATTACACTCTAAAGACACAATATGGAAATACATTACAGAATATATGAAACCATTCAATTATTATTCCTTCTAATATTAATTTTTATCTCCAATCACGCTCCAAACATACAGCTCGGCTTAATTACGTGGGATACTCTGTATATACTTTCAACCGCATCTTCTTTGTTCCTTTATACATACAATGTTTATACAAACGTAGTAACTGCGTCAAATAGAAAATAAAAACGCTTCTGTTTCCTTCTCTTTTCATTTCACAGAAATAATGAGATTTCCCTTAGGACTCTACTGTCAACGCAGTTTGTCTTAAAATTTTGGAATCTTCATATTTTGTAGAAAGACGCGTGCATGGTGTGTGTGTGTGTGTGTGTGTGTGTGTGTGTGTGTGTGTGTGTGTGTGTGTGTGTGTGTGTACTTTTAACGACAATATTCGAGATTACAGCGTATCAATCAATATAATCTTTTCATGTAACATTTTTTTTATCCAGCAGATTGATTCCGCTAGATTAGGTACATCAGTATAATTAATAGCCATCATACATTGCATGTGTATTTAGTAAAAAGTATCCTTCCAGGGATTAACGTAACTCTCACTCTTGAACGGCTGACCTTTGTTTGATTTGCTAGTATTCGTTATCGATATCAGTTAGATTTCCTTTATTTAACGTACAAAACTTAAAAAAGTTACTTTATACACATAAAAAGATAAAGGTATTGTTATATACACGTAAAAAGATATCTTTCTTACACTATATTGAAAGTAATCTAACTCAATATAGCAATGCATTGCTGAACTGCTTGTATACAAATAGAACTTCTTGTGTATATCTCGTTAGAGTAAAAACATTCTGTGACAGCAATGAAACATTCAATTGAATAATGATCTCCTGTTAAACCGTTTGGACATGTGGAACTTGAGAAAAGTAGTTCAGGAGAAATCCCTATTTTAATATTTTTATTAAAAAAGATATATACTGGCAACTGCGATGGATCGTGATACAAAATAATCTATTATTTTAAACTTTTCTTCTTCTTGCAATATATGACATATAT